AAGGTGTTTTTTTTTTTCTGGTTTAGGCTTGAATTGTCTCTCCCAAATTCACAATTTTTTCTGAGGCAGGCTCTCATGCATCACAAACCTCCAACTCATTATTTAGCTGAGGATCTTAAACTCCCAAACCTCTTGCCTCCACCTCCTGAGTGCTGGGATTACATGTGTGCACTGTGACCATGACTTATTTACACAGTGCTGGAGATTGAACTTTGCCCACTAGCCAAGCAGTCTACCAACGGAGCAATATCCTGGCTCCCAAAATTCTCATGTTAAAGTTTTAATGTACTTGGCGATAAAATTTTTGCTGGGGTAATTCAATGACAACAAATAGACCAGGTCCCAATTCAATCCGATAGGTTCGGAAGTGGAGATGAGAATATAGGTTCCCGAGAAGGAAGACCTTGTAGAGACAGGAAGGAGGGTGTGAGCCACAAGCCTGAGAAGAAACTGGGTCTGCCAGCACCTTGATCGTGAACTGCAAGCTTCTTAAAGAGTGAGGGAGTGTGTCTGCAGTTCATGCCACACCACCTATGGCACCTCCTTCACCTACAGGAGACTCATCAAACTAGCACAGGCTGCCAAACTCCGAGGCAGAGAAGCCAATACTTTTAAACACTTCGAGACCAAAAGCAGTAGGGAAGGCGGCTGGTTTTATTTGTGGAAGACATTTGGATTTTCATTTTGACCTATTTTTGTTTACAATGGTAAATTCAGTTTATTCTGAAATGAAGCCCAGGAAAATGAAGCCCCCCCCATCACATAATCATTTGTTTACATTGTTGGCAAGGTTGTTAAGCCAACTTAAGAGTTGGAGTCTAGTTTTGGCAGGAAAAGAAAATGGATTTTCACCTCATCATGGGCTCTGGGAGGATTAAGATGCCTTGGCTAAGGGGAGACTTAGTCCAATACTCACTCCCAAGGCTCAGAAGTTACCTGAACACTATAGGATGGTAATAGGGTGAGAAGCACTAGAATTTTCTTGCCGTGAGGCTAGTTTGATACATTGAAAGGTAAAAGCATTGCAGGTAAATAAACCAGAAGCTTAGAATGGTGTTATTTGTACCATAAAGAAAAATAAGGTAATGTGGTTGCATGTTGACTGTTTTACAGTTAGCCTTTCTTGTGCGTCAGTGAGATAATCTATTTCTCCCAGATATGTATTTTATGTTTCTGTGACTTTTCTTCTAGAATTCTTTGACTCCTACTGCCTTCTTTGTGTTTCCAGTATTTAATATACCAGGCATGTAAAGTTGAATAAGATACACCAGTATTGACATAAAAGGGAAACAAAAATAATAGGCATGAAAGCCGAGTTTATACAAGGAAAGCAGGGTTAGAAGGAAGTCTCAACTATGGCCCCGACACTGTTAGCTCGATAGAGGTCTAGGAGTGTCCTTTCTATTTAGTGCAATTGTTTTCCTAGAAACTTAGCGAGAACAAGCTCAGCACAGCACTGAGGGTAGAAATCATGTTGGGGAGGAAATGGACAGAGGTTGCTAAACAACCTTTCCAGAAGACTGTCGTAAAGGGAGGAGAGGCAAAATAGGAGATGGAGACAAAGGGTAAAGGATGCAGTTCCTGAACTAAGCACCAAGGTATCTATCCTGGGGTAGATATTAGGTAGATACGCCAGCAGGTGCAAAGGTGCCATAGGATGGAACCAGAAATAATGCCCAAGGAAATACCAGAGAAGCTGCAAGCGCAGGGACTTCCCAGTTGTAACGTTAGCTGTTGTGCCGTTCCTTCCAGTCCAGTCATGGCCAGGATGAGACAAAGTTCTGCAGTTGTTGGGGTCAAAGAATAGTTCTAGGTGTGGTGACGCTCACTAGTAATCCTAGCACTCCAGAGGTGGAAACAGGAGGCTGAGGACTTCAAGGCCGGCCTCAGGCATATATCAAGGTCAAAGCCAACCTGTCTGATAAATACACCAAACATAAAGTGGGGATGGTAGTGTGCTGGGCAAAAGTCCACATGGAGCAGGAAGTAAAGGTGTAGTTAATTGTTCAGATAATTCGAGGTTTGAGTATACTCTTTGACAAGCATGGACAATCCAAACTTAAGTCCTTTACTTATTTTAGGATGAAAAGTCTATTATGTTCCTAGGTATCTTTTTTAAAGTTACTAAATTACAAGATAGAGAAACTTGTTCCCCTTGTTTGGACCTAACCCTATATTGGAACTATTAAGTATTTATCTGGGCCTAGGAGACCAACCATGATAAAACTGAGCTGCAAAGAGCACCTTGAAGCCAGGGACTTTGAGAGCCTCTTAAGATTTGTTTCACCTTGCTTCTAACAGAAGAAACTACAGAGCAACAGAAGCTCATAAAACATACTTGTTAGAGCAAAGGGTATACAGTGGTAGAGTAGTTGTCTAGCATGTAAGAGGCCTTTTGCCAGGTGTGGTGGTCCACACCTTTAGTCCTAGAACTTGAGAAGCAGAGGCAGGTGGATCTCTGTGAGTTCAAAGCCAGCCTGGTCTACAAACTGATTTCCAGGCCAGCTGGGGCTACGGGGAGACCCTGTCTCAAAAAAGACCAAAAAAAAAGAAAAAAGGCCTTTTGGTCACTCCGATCATCACAAATAAGCAAATAAAGAAATAATAGTTGTGGGGCTGGAGAGTTGGCTCCGTGGTTAAGAGCACTAGCTGCTCTTGTACAGGGCCTGGGTGACTTTGTGAACAATATTTGCCTATACTTTAAAAACGAGATATAGCAGGCTGGAGAGATGGCTTAGCAGTCAAGAACGCTGGCTGTTCTTGCAGAAGATCCAGGTTTGAATCCCAGCACCCACATGGCAGCTAACAACTGTCTGCAACTCCAGTTCCAGGGACTCTGATATCCTCTGACTTCCGTGGGCACTGCATGACACAGGTGCACGTATACACATGCAGGCAATACACACATATACATAGAATAAAAATAAAAAACCTGTCTCAATAAACTAAAAAAAAAAGCTTAAAAAATGAGATATAAACTTACTGAACCATTGAAAAGGGACAAAATATTACCTTAAAATATGTACTTGAGATGAGGTTTACTAGGTTGGCCTCAAACTTGCACTCAAATGATCCTCCTCTCTCATTCTCTTGAGCAGCTGAGAATATAGGTGTGTATACCATGCTCATCTGTCTTTAAAAAAAAAATTTTTTTTTGGTCTTTTTTGAGACAGGGTCTCCCTGTAGCCACCTCTGGCCTGAAACTCCCTATGTAGACCAGGCTGACCTTGAACAGCTCCCCCCTCCTGCCTTCCTCTTGTCAAAGCATTGTTTTCTGCTGTTTCTGGATGTGAAGAATCTTCCTTAAATCCGACCACACAACATGCTGATTTGGCTCAGAAGTCCTTGGCCTATGGCCAAGGCGGTGAACTGTGCGGGAACCTGGCTTAGTAGAACTGAACGTGGGCCTTCCTCACGTCCCAGGACGTTCCTTTGGATGGAGTGATTGGAGACCCTTTGAAGGATCAGCCATGTAAAAACCAAAACCAAACAAGACCCGGCAACAGCTAGATGAAGGAGGGAGCACGTAGCAGTCTCAAGTAGGTAAATGGAGCTGTTGTAAGAGGGCCAGTGTAGAAGAGTGGCATGTGCCAAGCGCAGGGGTAGTAGGACCTTCTCACCAGGTAAGAATTCAGGATGTAACTGAAGGGCAATGGGAAATTATTACAGGGATTTAAGCAAGGAATATATCTAAAAAAGATCTTTCTGGGTACTGTTGTGAGAAAAGCAAGCTCCTGGGGACCGTTAGCAGGCTACTGCAGGTGTTGGCAAAAGATCATCACGGGTTAGAGGTTATGTCTGCATTTAAGGCAACAAACAACCTTTTATCTTTTTTACCTTTTAAATAGATAGCACCCATGCAAAGCTGTGACTAAAATACTTAAAGGACCCTAAAACGCCAGCAAGGAATCACTTTGTGTTTCACAGGGCTCTGGACTCAGCTCTTATGAAATACTTTGATTTGAAGCAGTCGCCATGTCTTAATCCCAACATCTATTGCATCCATCCTCTGCTCCAAATAATCTGGGACAAAATTCCTTCAGAATAACCCTCTTCCCTAAAACATGGGTTCCGTTTCCGCAGTGCAAACCGAGCGTTCGGGGCCCTTCCCGCCTCCGGGATGCTGCGTCTGGGCCGCACCAGACCGCGTTAGTGCAGACCGCATGCCTTGCATGGCTGCTGCACACGCACCTCCCGGGCCACCTGCCCCTCAGCTTTGGTGTTGACGCTGGCTCCCCACGCTGCCACGACACAACGTGAATAGGAACTCTTCTTCCAGGGCTTCGCCTTTAAGTCGATGCCCACCAAAGTTCTGAAAACAATTCAACTCCACTTCTCCAGATGCCATTGCACCGGGAAACAAGACACCTCATTGGGTCTCTGAGTTCCCAGCATTTTTTTTTTTTTTCCTGACAGCAGCGCTTATCCCGGGACACACCGCCTCGGTGTCCATCTGTCGACGCCGCAGCGCTTGCTCGCTCCCGTGGCCGGGGACGCGGGCCACCCGGAGCCCCACGGTGCTCCGGCCGCTCCGAACATGGCTGCTCTAGCCGCGGTCGTCTCGATGGTCTCCGAGCGGCCGCCGGCCTCACAAGGTCGGCTAGCCAGGGGGCGCTCTGGCCGGCGTCGTCTCGATGTTCTCCGCGCGGCCGCGGGCCTCGCGCGGCCTGGTCGCCAGGGGGCGCGCTGGTCGGCGCCGCCGACTCTGAGTGCGCGGTCCGACCGCGTCCGCCATATTGGATGCCGCAGCTACAGCGGCCAGCGCTTCCTCCTGTGTCTTCGCCGTGCACTGCAGTTTCTCGTAGCCCGGGCGGCAGGGAGGTGACACACGAATCCGTACGAGGAGAGGAAGGGGAAGACGGGGGTGGAGAGTGTAGGGACGCGGGCCTGAGTGAGGAGCCGCGGCCGAGCGGGGCGGAGAAGGCGCCGCGCCAGCCCCTCCCCCGCCGCCGACCCGCCCCGGCGGCCTCCGTCCCCGCACGGCGCTCCGCCCGCCCAGCGGCCATGCCGGGGCCTGGCTGGCGCTGAGGGAGCGTCGCCCGCCCGCCCTGTACTCCCGCGGCCTCCTCGCCTACCCGCCTCCGTCCGCGGCCCGCTCTTCCCCCGTCGCCGTCCCAGGGCTCCGCGCAGACAACATGGAGGCCGTGAAGACCTTCAACAGCGAGGTGGGTACCGCGCGCGGCCTCCCGCCAGTCCCGGCTCGGAGCTCGCGCGCCCAGGGCGCGGGTCGCTGGCTTCCCCGGCTCGTGCGACGCGGCCTGGCCGCCGTGGGGGAAGGGAACGGCCCGTGCCCCTCCCGGGGCCGGGGGAGGGCGGAGGGAGGGCCGGCCGCTACCGCCTCGTGAGCAGCGCGGCCCGCGGCCAGGCCTCTCCTTCTGGCTCCCCGGGTGGGTTCCGCCGAGGCCTGGCCCGCCCACCCGCGTCCCGGGCCTTGCGGGGTCTGAGCTGTCGCAGGACATAACGCTGCAGAGCCTCCTGGGTGCAAAGCAAGCGGACACGCGCGTGGGGGCCTGGTGCGGAAAGGACCCACGGGGTGCTGATCCGTGGTCACGTTACACGTAGTGTTTGTTATTGAGATTCTGTTGACTAGGTAACTTGCCAGCCAGGGACTTAGCTAATTGGATGGTTGATAGGGAGACAACATTATTCTGCGATTTTTCTCTTCTCTCCTTTTTTTTTTTTTTCCTATTTCTACTCCCCCTCCCCCCATTCATCTATCACGGAGAAAGACACAAATGATTGGGAGGGATTGGGCACCCTGGGAGGGAAGAAGCTGTTGGGAAAATCGTTTCCCACGGCCCCATTCACGAGTCAAGTCTAAACGATATTTTTTTCAAAAAGCAGGTGTCCGGTTTTTACTGTTAGCAGAATTTATTGACCCAATTGGAGAATAGGTTTCGAAAAAAATATATTCAGTTTTTTAAAAAGTTTAATTTCACTAGAGCTTAACGCAGACATAAAATACAGCAAGTACATACCCGTGCAACCAGCACATACCATCCTTGTCTTGTACCCCTTTGAGAAATATTTAAATGTGTTAACTAATTTAGCCTCGTTCTCATAAACTTTTGATTTGGAAGTGCAAATGCTCTATTCAGTAATGTGACTGTTAATGTTTTAAGTATATGAGTATATGAGGGTTTTTTATTTTTATTTTTTTGTCTTTTTGAGACAAGGTCTCCCCTTAGCCCCAGCTGTCCTGAACTCACTATGTAGACCAGGCTGGACTTGAACTCACAGAGAACCGCCTGCCTCTGCCTCCTGAGTGCTGGGATTAAAGGCCTGCACCACCACGCCTGGCTAAGTATATGAGTTCTTAAAAACAGTAGATTTATGGATATCCACATAGGATAGTGCTTTTAAATGCCCTTTTATACTTACTTACTTACTTACTTACTTACTTTATTTATTTATTTATTTATTTATTTATTTATGCCAGCATTTGGGAAACCCAGCAGAGGTTAAAAGTTAGGTAACATTCATGCCACTTGAACTCTGCATATTACATTAAGTAGTGGTGACACATAACATCCTTTTTTGTGAAGGACTTTCTTTTTTAGTACTAGAGGTTATTTTATGTTGTAAAGGAGCTTCTTGATGTTGAGCAGAGTACATTTGGAAGTCTGTAAATTTATAACATAGTTTGGACAGATAACCCTTTTGTAAAATTTGGTTCTTCCACCCAATACTCTGTAGTATTTAGAATATGGAATAAAAAGTATTTAGTGATACTATAATTATATTTATTGTTAATACTTCTATCCCTATATATAGGGAAATGGCTATGTTGCCTTTTTATTTGCTACATACAGCACGACAGCACTAATATCTAAGTTCTTTAACTCTTTTCTATTATTTCCAAAGCAGTTACTGGATTTAACCCCCTTCCTTTATGATGCATGTCCATCTTTGTTTAGCTGATCCCCTAATGGCCTCCTCCTAACCCCTCAGGAGGTTTTATAGGTGAGCCCTAGAGTGGTGGTGTAAACAAGTAAGTGTTCAATCCCTGTGGCCACAGTAGAACTCCATGGAAAAGGAATGTTGGTGGCCAACTTTGCATTTTCATTCTGACCCAGGGGTCTGGTGCTTATACACCTAGCTGGGGGATGTGCTTTGTCTTTTTTAATTTAGTCTTTACAGGAGCAAATTGCTGATAATTCTGTTTGAGAGTGTGCCCCCCCTCCCAATTTCAAACAATTTCTTTTTAACTTTTGAACTTAATATGCTGTAATTTCATCATGTTTTAAAGTGGGGTTACTTCAGAACTATAGGATGGAGTCAGAGTTGAGGCAGGGAAATACATTTGGGAGAGATTCTGAACCTTCCCTCCTTGTACTAGGAATTGAACCTAGGGCCTTTGGCATGAAGAACTCAGCCACTGAGTTACAGTGCCCCAGCCCTCTATCTTGAGCTGAGTTCTCTGTTGCCTAAGCTGGCAGCATTTGAGCCCACTCTGTAGTCCAGACAGGTCCTGTATTTTGTGATCATCCTGCCTCAGCTTCTCAGGTAGTAGAATTAAAGGTTTTGCACCAGACCTGGCTTTGCATATTTTTGTTTAAACTCAAAATGCATAGCCTTGTTAATTTGGAAAAAAAATTGATTATAGCATCCTGGGTATGTGGCTGATATAGTAAATGTTTTGTTACTGCAAATAAGCACATACTGGGAAGCAGTTCCATAATCACTGTTCTATTAAATTGTGTGTTGAGAAGTACAAAAGTGAAAAAAGGAATCTGAATTACAGGATTAGGAGAAAGTCATGTTTTCAAGGCATCAAAATTTAGCTCTGATAATAGTATTGTTGAGACAGGGTCTTGCTATATAGCTTCAGCCACCTGAGTGCTGGGAGTACAGGTGTATGCCACCACACTTGGCTAGCTCTAAGAATTACCATTAACACTTGTCAGCAAGATATTTTTGAACCTTAGAATGTTTAGACTACAAAAGCTGGATGTGGCACACACCTGTAATTCCAGCACCTAGGTGGCTGGGACAGGAGGATTGGTGTGAGTTTGAGGCTAGCCTGGGCTACATGCTATATTCTAGACCAGACTGACCTGCTATATTGTACAACCATGTCTCAAACAAAAACAAAACAAACATGCTTAAAATATGAAATTCTGTAACCAGGTGTGGCGGCGCACGCCTATTATCCCAGCACTCTGGAGGCAGAGGCAGGCGGATCTCTGTGAGTTCAAGGCCAGCCTGGTCTACATAGTGAGTTCCAGGACAACTGGGACTACAGGGAGACCCTGTCTTAAAAAGACCAAAAAAAAAAGAAAAGAAAAGAAATGCTTAGCTTTTATGGCTTGCTGATTCTCAGGTTTTCTAAGACTGAACTACCCCATTTGAATTTTCTACTTTAACAGAGAACATTAGCTAGAAAATAACATGCCAGAAAATTTAAAGCTAAGAGTACATTTTTTTAATCTGCAAAATGTGAATGGATTTCAGTCCGAGTCATTTATCAGCCCCTTTCCCATCATCATTTCTTTAAGGATTTCTCTGTCCTCTACCACTGTGCTAAAAATTACTATGTCAGAAGATCTTCTAGAAGATCTTCTGTTCAGGAATTTTGTGGTCAGTTCCACGTCATTGAGTTGAATGAAGGAGTTAATCCCATGGCCATTATTGTCGATGCTGATGTGAAAAGCTGTTCATATTTTAGAAGACTCCCTAAGAGTCAAAGCTTGACTGAGCAATTAAAGGTATAACTAATCATTACACGTTGTTGTAGCTGCTGCTCCAAGATGGTAGGATTTGCTTATTAAAATGACTTGAAGTTCTCACCTATTGAAGAGTCTCACTTGGGAAAGCTTCGATATGTGGACTATATTAAAACTGCTTGACTGTTGCGGGTCAGCATTTCTGTTGTGAGCTGCCATCCCTTGCTGTGCACTTAAAGACTGCTACCACCACAAGGAGACTATTCCAGTAGGTCCTTCTTTACCTCTACCTTGCCTCAGGTCTTGTTTTTATAAAGGGAAAGAAGGAGAATGGCTATGCATGACATTTTCCTTTAGAAAATTTCAACTAAATTGAAGAGGGAGTTTTAAAACATAAGTCTTAAGGTAACCCATAATGGCCATGGGATTAACTCCTTCATTCAACTCAATGACGTGGAACTGACCACAAAATTCCTGAACAGAAGATCTTCTAGAAGATCTTCTGTTCAGGAATTTTGTGGTCAGTTCCACGTCATTGAGTTGAATGAAGGAGTTAATCCCATGGCCATTATTGTCGATGCTGATGTGAAAAGCTGTTCATATTTTAGAAGACTCCCTAAGAGTCAAAGCTTGACTGAGCAATTAAAGGTATAACTAATCATTACACGTTGTTGTAGCTGCTGCTCCAAGATGGTAGGATTTGCTTATTAAAATGACTTGAAGTTCTCACCTATTGAAGAGTCTCACTTGGGAAAGCTTCGATATGTGGACTATATTAAAACTGCTTGACTGTTGCGGGTCAGCATTTCTGTTGTGAGCTGCCATCCCTTGCTGTGCACTTAAAGACTGCTACCACCACAAGGAGACTATTCCAGTAGGTCCTTCTTTACCTCTACCTTGCCTCAGGTCTTGTTTTTATAAAGGGAAAGAAGGAGAATGGCTATGCATGACATTTTCCTTTAGAAAATTTCAACTAAATTGAAGAGGGAGTTTTAAAACATAAGTCTTAAGGTAACCCATGAATGTGAGTGAGGAATAGCATGAGTGTTCTAAGCATGAGTGGTCATGCTTAGACAAAGTAGCTGGAGGAGGCTTTTACTTGTGTGTGGATTCTTTTGATATGTAAGAACTTTAAAAAATAGAGCTGCAGTGTGTTTTTCACATATCAGAATTTAGCAATAGATCTTTAACATAGTGAAGGTTCCAGTCAGTGATCAGTTTCCTATGCTTCTTCCCATTGGTCTCTTGATGCTCTAGTAGACTGAGTTAGGAAGATGTAGGACTGAAGATGTAGGTTTGAGATGTTGCCAGAAAATTTGTTGCTATTTAACTTTTGGATTTACCTTGGTTCATAGATTCCGAAAGGATTTATTTATCATCTTAAAAAAAAAAATCAACTGGGTAGGGGCTGGGGGGCTTAGATGGAAGAGGGGGTCTAAATTTGATTAAGAACTATTGTACAAAATGCACAAAAACTCAATAAAAAGTATTAAAGAAAA